TGTGTGTGTGTGTGTGTGGTGTTTGGTGGTGTGTGCTGTGGTGTGTGTGTGTGTGTGTGTGTGTGTGCGTGTGTGTGTGTGTATGTGTGTGCGTGTGCGTGTGCGTGTGCGTGTGCGTGCGCGTGTGTGCGAACACAGACACTTGTATGGGGGCAGTCTTTGTTCGGTTAAAGGTGAAAATGTAATTTCGACTTGCTATTATCACATAAAATGATATTGAGGCAATGACTTTCAACGTTTGCCATTGCCGCTGCGTGTGTTCCCTGGCACGTAATGGCCCTTATATATATATATATGCTCGCAGTGGCGCGTGAACTTGAGTGGCTTTTATCCAAGGGTTCACGATGGAACTATCAGTTTCTACACACCCCTTCTTGACCGCGGTCTCCTTTGTAACCTGTTTTCCCCTGTCGGCATTAGCTGGAGAGACAGTTAACAAGAAACATACGACGGATTTTTTTAATGTGTTATAGTGGTGAAACGTCTTCTCTGGGGCTTCACAGCGCAGGTGCTTTCGTCTAGCTGTCGAATTCTAAGAAGCGCTTGAAGGCGTTCTCGTCATTGTACGCTTTTATCGTCTTACTTTGGCTATCATTTTTACGTTTCGCAGGCACTTATATCCATTCTAAATGCGATTAAAGAAAGAGTGATGGAAATTTTCGTTTGAAAATGTGATCGCGGAGAGATAACCAGAAAAATAAAAAGATATATATATGGACATTTAATGGCCGCAGTAAGAATTGTGGGGCATCTATAAAAATGTTTGCGATTTTATTGGGCAACTTGGGATTATTAACAATTACCATTGGGTGCGCGTATGCCACTTCCTGGAAACGGACATAACAACAAAAAATTCGCAGCAGACCGATTATCACGGTAGCTTAGAAACACTTAGAAATTATGAATTCTAGCGGCCAGAATATGCATGATGAAGTCTTCCAACATATTGACAAGGTATTGCTTACTATTAATATCCATCAATATCTGACTTAGGTCTACTCTTATAGTTCTAAATCCGAAATCTAAAAGTGTTATTGAACAGCAACCGGTTCGCGATAGGAGCCTATCTTTTCTGTACTGAGAAGGACAAGCAGTGCACTTTGCGATTTACGCTTTTTAATATTACCTCGTTACTTTCATTACTTAGGTTTACGAGAGTTAAACTCATGCAGATAATTAGTTTCCTCTTTTTGAGCGAGACGCATTAATTTATTACAATTACGACCGGAAATGTCTACTTTTGAAATTTTCCAAGTAGACAATAGAATACTTATACTGAATAGGGTTTTTTCCTAATTGACAGAATATTTACCGAATCCATTAGTCTTCATATCAATGCTTGTAAGTCATTATCTAATTTTTAAAGATGTTTCTTTTCGAAAACATTGTTTGGGCTGTTTTAAGACAGTGTCAGAATTTCTGTTTAAACCCCATGTGTATACACAGTTGGCACGGTGGCACCATCTGGTGTGTATATTTTTCATTTGCTTTGCTCTCCTACACTGTCAGTCTATCATAGCACCTTCAGTATGCCCTATGCACATGCCAGCGGTGTAGGGCAAAGCTGCGCGGCGCCTCTACGGGGGTTCTGTGCGGCGCCGCGGAAGCCTGCCAGCAAATAAAAAATTTTTTTTTTTTTTTTAAATCAATAAATTTTTGTGAAAGTCAACATGTTTGTGCTTGAACCGAGGCTGACTTTTCAGTGTCATACAGATTAGTGTTCTATTCTCTCTCGTTTCGCTCTGCAACGCCATTTCAGCTCATTCATGGTCCAAGAGATGGCGCCCTTGAGGCGAAACGCACGTATTATCTTAGAGCGCACCGCCCGATTTTAAAAGGTGCGGCCCTTTGACTTTTCATGGCCCTCTGATGCGGCTTTCGCTTTGAAAAGTTTGCCCACCCCTGCCCTATGCTATACTTGTTAAACTTACCGATCTTTATTCAATCTCGTAATAAATATTGGTCCATAATATATCATGTGGGTCAAAACGTGAAGGATCATAATATCAAGTAAAGAGTAGAGTACGTAATTCAAACACATGGGATGTGCTGAGTCTGACATCGCTAGGGAGTAACTTAGACATCATGAGTTGTAGAACAGAGAGTGAAGAGGAACAGAGAGTGGTGTTGGTTGTGAGGTGGGTTCAAGATAGAGAATATGTACCCAAATAAAACCAATGATCATTTACATCAATATAAATATTAATATTATATCAATATAATAGGTTAGGGTTATGTTAGGGTTAGGATTAGGTTAGGCGTTAGGGTTTAGGGTTAGAATTAGGTTAGGGTTAGCGTTAGGCACATTGCGTTTTATTGCGATACATGTTCTCTATCCTAGGGCCGTGAGGTGTAGTCGGGGGCAGAGCCAGGTTACATCTAGCTTGGAGGAGATTGTGGGGGAGTTAGTGGAAACATAGAATGCTAGTGTTGTCAATCGGTTGTAATTTCGTAATCGATCATCGGTTGCGACCCAAGTAACGATGATCGCGTTACAATCAGGTTACTCGGGGTGTTGAATGCCTGCGCGTGCGTAACGTCGTGTGCATGTATGTGCTTGTTTAGCCCCATGTTTACTGTTTGTTTTGCCACTGTTGACTACTGTGTGTATAATAATTAATACATGTATGTTAAATAAAGGATAACGTTGTATAGTAGCGATGATATCTCTGATTCTTATCACTTTCCAAGTTTTCTTGTTCAAGTTTGACATTTATTTCGATTATTTTTTTTAAATTTTTTTTATGAAATTGATTATGGATTTGATAACCAAGCCTTGGTTTGAGCACTGAT